ATTTTTTTATATTTTAAAAAACAAAATTTTTCTGGGATAGGGTTTTTTTTTTTTTTTTTTTTTTTTTGTGGGGTGGGGATTGGGGCTCCCCAAAACATGCTTTTTGACATGGATTGGATTTTTTTTTTTTTCGTGTGATTTTATCAATCCTAGTTGTGAAGCCACTGAGCCTTTTCTTCCTACTTTTTACTTTCCGTTGCCATAACCATTTCTGAAACCTCATGCTTTCACTAAAAGAAACATTCAGAACAAGTTGATCTGCGGACTAAAACAGATCCGCAGACAAAATATGACCAATCCACATAGAAGCGATGTCTTTAATTCCCTGATGGTCTCCTGGCTCCACAAGCACTGTCACTGCATATTCAGTCGGCGGATGAGTTAGTTCATGGATCATTTGTTCTGAATGCACTCTAGGGGTGCATTCCCAGAGATTTAGATCTATCCAGAGATTTAGATCGACCTAACTCCCTGGGGGTTCACACTAAATTGCAGTCAGCCGAGCGTGCACCATAGTTAATTATCCCCATACAGCTTTTAGTAGGCGGGACAGATGCTTAAGCCGGCTAAGCCGACAGTAATCTAGTGAGACTCCCCACAGGGATAGATCAATCTAAAATCTAATGGAAATGGGGTCTAGTTCTACACAACTCCTCTGTCCTCGAAGCAATTGCCACGTTCCCCGTTTCTGTTCAGTGCATTCAATCTCTGCTTGGGTGACCCCAGCTCTTATCTTAATTAGCCAGCAATAGGGAATGTAAAAGCTAATAGATCTGTGACATACCGTTATGTTTACCTAATCGTGTATTGTTTTACTTGAAAGAGTATTAGAATAGATGAAAGTATAACAAGAGATTGGTCCAGATGTGCCGTGTTGATTTTGTCTTTCTGGTTGTGTTGTTTTAGCTGCCCCAAGAGCAGAATGGGTGGTATAGCATAGTTGAAAACCTTTTGGGGATGGTAAAAAACAAATAACCTTACCCTTTAGAAGACTGAAGAATAATAGTTAATTAAATTTATTGCTTTGTACTTGTTAGAGTGTAAGAAAAAATTAACATGCCATGCATTTTTTCCTCTTTTTAACTTCAAATCCTGGCAATTGATTGAATTCATTGCTTACTACATTCAAAGATGTTAAAAAAATAAAGCACGACTTTTCATTTCTAGTTCTTTAAGAACTTAAATTTCTGTTATTTAACTGGATTAAATGAAGTTCTCATAACTTTCTGATATTATTAGATTATTCCATCATAAAACCTCCAAGACCCTTGATTCAAAACCACCACCTCCTTCTGTCCTTGGCCAAATCTCTTGCTATTCAAACATTTCTGAATTAAAACCCTGCTTATAGCTTTACAGTTTAATTTAATGTACAAAAAACCTACACTCCACAAAGAATTTTATCAGCTGTTTTTCAAAACACATTGTTAATTATCAAACTTATTTCTTTACCAAACTGTCATTATGAGCACATACTAGTACCTTTAAAGATGCCAGTTAAAAAAATTTGCTTACATTTCTGAAAATCTAACTGGTGGACCCATAGTGAGCGAGTAGATATTTAAATATGGAATTTTGTCATTACTGAAGGTAAACTGTTGCCATGACAATACATTTGCAACCAGATTTAAAAAACATTTCTGAAAAAACTAAACATGTTTTTACTTGTGGTGTATGAGGACTCGTCACTTGATCACATGACTTGATTACACTAGTGACTTGATCACATGACTGACTCATTGGTCACAGTATGGTCTAGGGGCTTAGTCAAAGAACTTAAACAATAGCTTTTAAGCCGACATCAGACAAATCCATAAAAGCCCCCCCCCCCCCTTCCTCCTCCATCATGATTCTCATTAAATCTCAGATTTCAAAATCTAACTAAAAATAGGAAGCTGGTGCAATCGGTTCAACCATGTTAAATTATTAGCAACTTTAACAATTAAAACTATTTATAAAGTCTTTTTAATTAATTAATTAATTTATTTATTTATTTATTTATTTATTTTTGAGGAACATCCTGTATTATCTACCAAAATTCTTTAAATTTTACCTGTAACAAAGCAACTTTTTATGGCAATTTTCTCTCTAGACAGTTAACAATTTGACCTGGAAAGTTTTATTTTAGCCTTATGATGGACAAAAAATTCATCCACCCCAAATTTTGACAATTGCTTATCCTGGCAAAAGTTTAGTATCATTGTAATATTACTTACCTGCACCCTTTTTCATTTTTTTGATATTTCTGAATCATTTTCAGTAATAATTGTGTCTGTTTGATTTCAGCTGGATGAGTTAAATGTGAAGTCAGAGGCAGAGAAGAGAGAGATGGAAGGGAGGCATCACCTGGTGCAGGAAAAGGTGGGTAATTTCTTGTGTGTGTGTGTGTGTGTGTGTGTGTGTGTGTGTGTGTGTTTCTGTGTATGTGTGTGTATGTGTGTGTTTGTGTGTGTGTGTGTGTGTGAGTGTGTGTGTGAGAGAGAGAGAGAGAGATTATGGATTCGCATGTATGTGTGCATGAATGAGAGCACACAGATATACCTGAGCAGTGTTTTATACAATTAAGGTTGAAGTCAATAGGAAGTGAAAGATATCTTGTCAATGAGAAGGAAAGTTTGGTGCAGAATTCTGGTGTGTGCAATTTATTTACTGTACTATTGTGCAGTCACTTGACAGACAAGTGCAAATTCTCATGCTTTTACAGGAGGTCATTGATATAAATATTATTATTATTATTTTTTTTTTTGGGGGGGGGGAGGGGCTCAAGGGTCTCCCAACTCCAGGCACTGCAGCCAATTTTCATAAAGAACAGCATTTTCACTCTTCTTCATACACTGCATGATTGTAATGTTTTCTTTGTTAAATATTTGACAAATATTTTATGTCAGTGTATTATATTGAGATCATTTTCTGTCAATTTGAGTTTGTAATCAAATACTTTGTGTGGTAAAGATAGTAGCAGTTAACAGTAGCTGTATGGCCCCAGCTGCATCTTTTGTTGTTGGACAAAAATGAAGTCATTCAGGAATTTTATTCAGAGCTGTTGGTTATTTGGTGTGCAAACATGAAATCTGTCAAAATAGTTCACATATTGTTTTTCGTTGAGATATTTGTTCCCATCTGGATATCTTCAGTGACACCCATATGTTATTAGCAGTCTCAACTGTTTATTTTCTGTTTGCTGCTTGCTACACTGAAAAAAAGTTATAAGGAATATTTTTCTTTTATAATTGTCACACTTTTATGTTTATTTTTGATTTCTCTTTGTCAAAACTCCTTTGTTAAAATTTTTGCTGAAATGTCAACTCACAATGTTCAGTTTGTTATAAGTCTAGGCGTGTGTTTGAAAAGAGTGAGTAGTTCTCCTTCATTTGTTCATTTATTTTTGTAATTACTGGCCATTATTTTGTTTGCCTTATGTAAATAATGTCCATTTTGGCATCCAGAATGTCTTCAATTTGAGATGGACCTTTATGTGGCCACATGTCCAAAATCTTCATGTGTGTGTTGTATGATAAGCTCTTGGCTGGTTTTTAAAGTGGCACAGAGAATATCTCATTGATGTGACTCAGTTTACTTTAGGCTGCTAAAATTAAAAAAGACAACTACAAATACAGAGTTGACTTTGAGACATTGGTATCAGAGTACTTTGTAATTACTAAACAATTATCCATAATAAATGTAGTTGGCATGCCTGCATGTATATTGACAACACCGAGGGTAAAATCCATTGTCAAGAAAAATACTATTTGTCCCTGGGTCTTAATTAAAAAAAAAAAAAAACATAACCAAGAAGGGGTTTTTCAGATTTTTCTGAAAGCAATTTATTCATCTAAACCCCCAAGCAGTCTTTTCTCTGAAGGATTTTAGTTGTTTTATGAAAAATAACCCTGGAGAACATTTTAATGCATTTCAACTGATGAAAAAAAGTTAAAGATGGTATATGACTTACTGTGGCATATGGGTTGCTAGATGGGCTTAAGACCTTCATTAAAAAATTGGTCAAAATGTTTAGACCAAAATTATAGTCCATTTTGAGCCAAGATAAATAAAAAGTAATAGACAAGGATGTATTGTTATTTTGGCTAACTTGTTTATTCATTCATTCATTCATGATTTTTGAATATATATATAAATTTTTTCAAATTAATTCATTTATTCGTTTTTCATTTATTCATTTCTTCTTACTGTAGAGCTACAGAGTCAAGTTCTTTGGCTATGTGTGATTGCAGAACAGAATGGCCACAGTTTAGCTGTTATGGTAATCTGGGGAGCAACACCCCATTTCCATAGATTTTCAGATGGATCTATCCCTGTGGGGAGTCTCACTAGATTACTGTCAGCTTGGCCGTCTTAAGCGTCTGTCCCGCCTACTAAAAGCTGTAAGGGGGTAATTAACTATGGAGCGCGCTCGGCAGACTGCAATTTAGCGTGAACCCCCAGGGAGTTAGGTCGATCTAAATCTTAATCTTTAGATCGATCAAAATCAAAAGCACCCCAACATTACCTCTGGCCTCGTGGGTGTAATGTCATGGCGTTGGTAGCTTAACAGATGTGTCACATTCTTGATATCTGGCTGTGTTCACAAGAAACCCACATAAGCGTATACCCATACCCCCCCTTCCATTCCCCCTTGATATCTGGCTGTGTTCACAAGAAACCCACAACTTTTTGTCCGCATAATGTAATGCAGTTGGCTGTTCAGTTGTGGCTTCAATTTCCAGCATTATGATTTAGACAGTTCTTTAGTGTAGAAATGACAGGGACAGGTTAGGATGGAGTTCTGGTGAAATTTTTGTATAGATATAATGTTTGATTATTGATATAAATTGAATCAACAAATACACCAATTATGAAAGCTGACCAAAATAAATAGTAGTAGTATTTTGTCCACACTGTGACTTGTTTTTTTTGTTAAATTATTTGGATTTTATTATATCTTGAGTATTTTAAGAAATACTTTTAGATGCAAAAAAAAAAAAAAAAAAAAAAAAAAAAAATATATATATATATATATATATATATATATATATATATATATATAAACTTTTAATTGTATATTTAAATAGATATAATAGAAAAATGAAAAATAAAGTTAAATAAATGAAAAATGAGAAGAATACCTCACTAAACCTCTGTTGAAAGATATTCAAATGTTTAGTTGTATAAATAAAGAAAATACGAAAAATAGAAGTGAAATAAATGAACAATAGATGAATTAATACCTCATTAAACCTCTCTTGGAAGATATTCTGGGCCCCATATTTTTCCCTCCACACACTGCCTCGACATCTAGAGCCCAGTTGGTAACATTTGACTGTGTTGATGTGGAACAGGTTTTTCTTTAATCAGTTTAACAAGAAGTAATTTCATGCAACTGCATGTGCTTGGCACAAGGTATGCATTAAGGTTTAAGGTCTTGAAATTAAGTTTATAGTAGCAAAAGGGTTTGCGCACTGAGAGAGAAGTAGGGCATACAGTAAAGAAAAAAAGATGAACGTGATAAAAACGTAGTATTCAGTTTATTATAAATTAACCACACCCAAACAAATGCTTGCTAAAAACAGCACTGGTTGTTTATAAAAGTCTACAATCTCATACAGCAAGAATAAGCTAGATACGGTAAATGTTCTAAAGTTTATTACAACCAGAAAAACACTAAAAAATGCGATATTGTCATTTGTTTCTATACAATAACTGTATGTTGAATTTTGTCAGTCCTTAACTTTGTCTACTACTCCTTAAAAAGTTTGTACAAATTCTTACAGAAAGGACATTTTAATCATATTGTGAAGTTTACTTTTTATACAGAAAAATGTGTCACTGAATAATATATCAATTTATCTCTGATTATTAAATATGTAGTGATTGGTGTAGTAAATGCATTTGCCATATACCTAAGAAAATATGCATTTATGCAGATCAAGCTATTTACTGTTCGTTCTTCTGTGAAAGGAGTACACTTCACACACACATTGATAAAAGACAGCATATCGTCTAAATATCCTACCTGGTGTACATGATACAACTTTGACAAGAGGGAAATGATAAAAGTACTAGTCTTCTTCGTCCAACAAATATGCTCAGAATGAAAGGCATTTATAATTAGTTACTAAGCATTAGTCAATCTAGATAAAAGACTCAGTCTGATTTGAAGGCTGTTAGCCTAGTAGATAAAAGACTCGGTCTGATTGGAGGGCTATCACCCTGAATTGCTGGATCCGCCCCTGGTTGCATAGCATACTATAGGACCTGATACTAACAAACATTATATCATATCTCACTCACACAGTGCCATACATTTCTAGTGCAATATTCTGAAAGGTGGAAATCATCTATTGCACATCTAACACACTTCACACCTAACGCATTATCACAGACAAACTAATGTGTTTTTCTACTATCTGTTAATCATGAATAATGGGCTAGACTGTATATGGTAATTGCTCATTAAATCCGAATAAAATCTATTTTGTTATTTCTGCTTATATAGTTTGTAATTACTTGAAGAAGTTGATTCACTGTTTCTGACAGGTCTGTTGATTTCTTGTCAGAGAGTAAATTTTTATGAGTAACCGAAACTGATAAATCTTTCATAAAATAAAATATTGGAAAAAGTATGCTGTTTAAAAAAAATTGAATAATTACCGTACACTTACATTTCAGTAAGGAATTATTAGATCCCACAATAATTACAAAGCACACTAATTACACCTGTTGTTTTTTGCACATGATTGGGCTGCTGAGAGTATGTCAGTTTCTTAATAAACAAACAAATAAATAAATAAATAAATAAGAAAGATGCAAACAAAACTACCAGCTCACTACTGAGTACTCCCAGCACAATATTTTGTTGATTTTTAAGGATTTGATTTGAAATACCTGAGAACTGAGCTGGGTTCAGGTTCAACATTAGCCTTACAGGGACAATGTTACCATTGCTATTCACTGGAAAGGGAAAGCCTCAAAAGTTGTATTTGATAGTCAGAAAATAACATAATTGTCAAATTGAGTAATTTCTTTCCTTTACAAAGAAAAGAAAAAAATTCTGCCTGTCAGTATAGTTCAAATATTTGTATGAATATGGTTTTTGTATCACCATTATAAACAGCTGTGCAAGATGTTTTATAGGCGATATGGTAGTTCATATTGCAAACATAATACAGATCTACAGATGAGGTACAGTTTATATTACACTGTCAGCTCTACCTTCACTAATGCTACCATTCTGATTTCTTATCTATTGTATTTTCAGTTCTCTCTTTGCTGGTCTCCGTCTTTTTACTCACCAGGTTATAAGGATACTGTGGATAACTCTTGGTGTTATTAAGTCCAATAGGAATTTCATCCGTATGTGTCCTTGATTGTGATTGGACAATGGGGTCAATCTGAGCCAAGTCTAATTCGCTCAGCTGATTTAGTTGGGCTCCTTTGAATTTCAGCGGGAGAGCACACTTGATTTCCCAGCGCATGTAGACGTTGAGGCCAGGCGTGTACATCCAGCGTCGCATCCAAACTATGTCGCTGTCACAGTACCATGGGTTTCCTGTGAGTGTGATGCTCCGTAATTTGGGGAGGTAGTCTGGAAAGTGGACAGGCAGTCGGGATAGTCCCGTGTTCATTAAGTTTAAGTCTGTTAGAGTATTGAAATAGCCTGCATTCAGGTCCCAAGATAACATTTTCGCCACAATGAGAGGACTGCCAGTTAAATCGAGAAAACGCAATGATTTCATATCCTTGAACAAGCCTGAAGGAACGTAATCCAGTTTGTCCAGGTTTCTGATCTTTAGCATAATGAGACCGGAAAGTTCATCCAGTGCCATGGGGTCTAGAACGAGGGTGGGGTTGTCTGAGAGATCCAGGGACTGTAGTCGCGACATCCCTGCAAATGCACGCACTTCGATTTGAGCGATACTGTTCTTCTCCAGGTCCAAGTTGCGTAGATTTACGAGCCCTTAAATGTGCGTTTGGTTATTTTTTTGATACGATTCTTCTGAAGGTATAGTGATGAGAGGGACCAGTGATGACGGAAAATATTTTCTGGAATATTGTAGATATTGTTTTCCTCCAAATGCAGAATTCGTAGGCGGCTTGGAATACGTTTTGGGAGCAGAGAAAGGTAATTTTTATTCAACCACAGTTCCTGAAGTTGACGCATATGGCGGAAGGCTTCATTGTGAATATACTCCAGTGAATTGTTTGCCAAATTGAGTTTACTCAGTCGTGTATTTTGACGAAAATCATTTGCACTAATGTACCTTATATTGTTGTGCCCCATGCGAATATCTTGTAGTGATTTAGGTAGTCCCTCTACAACCTGCCCAAGTTGACAGAATTCTAAGTCAATCAGGGACAACTTGCTGCTATCAAATTTCAGGCTCATTAAATCAGTGAGGGGATTGTTATTGAGTTTAAGGTACCGTAACCTCCGCAGGTTGCGAAAGGCATTGGAATCAATGGCGGAGATGTCATTATGGCTGAGGTCAAGGTACCGCAACCTGATGTTCTCTATGAAAGTTTTCTCGGTGATAGTTTGTAGGTTGTTGTATTTCAAGTTTAGTATTGTGATCCTCCTGAGTCCTCTAAATAGGCCCTCTACATCTACAAGAGCGTTGTTGGCCAGCGTAATAGCCTGAAGACTCCGTGCTCCACGGAACATGCCCCTCGGCAACTTCTCTAGCTTGTTCTTGCTTAGATCCATACCTGCAAGGTTTCTGAAGTTTGCAAAAATCCCGTCCTCGATGGAAGAGATACGGTTGCTTGCCAGCATGAGGGTCTGCAGACGAGTCAGGTGTGCCAGTGACGCACGCGTCAGGTTTGTTATTAAGTTATTGTGTACATCGAGGTGTGTCAGTGTTGGCAAGAAATCGTCCGGGATTTCCTTCAGGTACATGCCATTGCAGTAGGCTCTGTTTGCCATGCAGGGGCATTTTCTCGAGCAAAGCCCATTGACCTCATTAAGATTCCAGGCCAAGCCTAATAAAACAATTAAAAGCCAATAAAAACTTGACCCCTTCATGCTGATGTTTACATAATATGACTCCTCTCCCACAATATTTGCTGTTGGTTTTTTTTCTCTCCCTCAATTACTCAGCTGACTGAGAAGAACTTTGTCTCAGTTGTTGTCGCTGTCTAATTTTTTCCCTTGTCCTTACGTTCCTCCGGCTCTGAATATTCTGTGTGTATTATTAACCTAATCCTCTCTCATTGTTACAACTTAGTGCTCGTTCCATTATGTGAAATTTCAAAGCAGGGCTGTAATTTCCTTTCAATGGTGGTTGTAAACTAGCCTCTTTTCCCTCCAGCTAATATATTTAGAACCTGTAACAGTAGTATGGGGGGTAATATTAGTCAGTGTGCATACAGTTTAGTACTCAGATTTGGTGACCCTGAAAAAATTTCTAATCACGAATGGTATAGCGATATATAGCGCCTGTTTAGATTTTTCTCCCTTTTTCCTTTTTTTGTTTTTACTGATTTTGTTTGGTTAATCCATTGAATTTTGAAAAACAGTTAAATGTTTTCTATCCACAGATTTTGTGGTTTGTGGTTTTCTCCCCCTCTGTGTTGAAAAATGTGAAAAACCTTTCTTTGATGTTAGAGATTATGAACTTTTTTCCCTGTGGTTATACCAGTACTGCTCTCACAACTGACGTTTAAAGTGTGTGTATGGTGAATTTTACAACAAGCGTGTCACTGAGTTCAAAGCAAACTCCTTTTACTTCAAATTAACCTAAACCCTTTTATTACAGGCATACCATTCATGTAAAAAATTACAATAAATCTCAACCATACCTGCTAGTTCGCGTTTGTCACTGAAAACTGCTAGACGGCTTGCCTTGTGGTCTAAACTTGAATAAGAAAGAGGTTGTATGTCCCTTGCTGGGAAGCTGATTGCACTGTCACAGGCAACTGTCTTTGTTATAGCAACATTAGTATGGGTGCTCTGTCTAGGGTGGGATCAGGTAGCTGAACAGCAGTCTTGAATAGCTGATTAATCCTCTCCCATCCTTTAAATAAAGGTGTATGGTTCTAGGTTCTTTGTCTTATAAAGAGAGAAAAAGTGAGTAAGAGAACGATGTTGAGGGTCTATTCTTTGGCTGCAGTTCTGTTCCCCTCTTCCACCAAGGCCCTCTCAAAATGTCATTCAGGTTTCTGAGACGTCTGAACTTTAATAGAAGGGATCTGTATTAAACCACTCTCTCCTCTGTCTAGGTAACGTTCCCTGCTGGGTAGAAGCCAGAAAAGCGTGAAGTCTGTAATTTTTTGTTGCTTTTTTTGTTGTAAAATTACCTCACAGTCTGCAAATCTACATAAAGTGTTTTTGTAATCATAGGATGGATCTCTGCCAGATAAAAGTTTCAGTTACAGTTGTTTTTTTATCATAAAGTTAATCCACATGACATTGTTTTAATGTTCTCCCAAATTCATAGCAAATAGCTTAATCCAACTGTGAAAGATCAAACATGTTTATTTTTTTTGTCCTCTATTTTTTTTTCTTTTTTGATGATGGAAGTGGTCCTCACTGTGCCTGCAATTGTTTATCCGTCTGCTTTAATCCCACAAGAAAAGGTTGCCCCAGTTACATCACACCCAAGTCTTTTCTAATCCAGTTATCCAAATATCCAATTATCAAGTTAAATATTCCACAGAAAATGTTTTTTGAGTTCCAAATTCCATGTAGCATAAAACCACATCAAAGTTCATACAATATTCTAGTCCTGTGTTTTTCCTCAATGAGTTAATTCCCTATACAATTACCATTCACTTTGTATCACTAAGGAAGGGTCACCTGCACCCATTGCTGTCTCTAGCCTGGTCAGTTGTTTGGTCAGAAATTAACTGACCACTCTTGTTTATTGGCCACTACCAGTAGCCTGACCGCTCACCTTTCCCCAGCTGAAGTGCCCTGTGTACTGATCTCTGCAAAGAGTGTGCTCTAACTCTAATACCAACCTGTACATTAGGAGTGGGTGGGGCCTGCATGTGATTGACAGTTCATGCCCACATGTTGCATGCTAACTTATGGGCGGAGCCTAATGTGAATGTCACTTGGGGTTTTATGTTGCATTGTGATTTGCAGTATTTACGCGTTGTGGGAGGGGCTGTAGATAACTGGCAGGGAGGAGAGTGTCTAGCAGTACTGTGATTTCATTCTAGGGTATGTTTACTGGTCCTTATTTTCAATCAGATGTTAAAAGCCATATGGGGAAGGGTTATCAATAGTCCCACTAGGATAATGACAGCAAATGCAGTTGGGAAAGAAACATGCAGATACTGATTGCTTCGTAAACCTGTTTAATCTCACCAGTGACTCTTTTAATTATGGAAAAGGCCACAGCTTGATCTGTCTAAAACTGATAGTTAGCAGGGAGTTTGGAGTCTGAAAATTTTAATAAAAAACACAAACCCTTGACAGGTCTTGTCAATCAGTCTGCGGGTAGCAATAGGTGTGATTGACAAGAATGCCTCATGACCATCCTCCCCCCCCCCCCCCCCCCCAATCAAAATAATCTGACCTTACTGATCAGAAAAGGTTTACAGAACTTACAGTTCATTTTCACAATACAGGCATATAGCTGCCAAGTCAATGTAATGGCATTTAAGGGGGGGGGGGGGGGGGGGGGGGCTATCAAACTACCGCAGATTTTCTCCATCTACTTTAATAACGAAGTACATTCCTATTTTACTGATGAATGATTCTGTTAACGTATTATGGTCTGAAACTTATGAAAATCACAGTGGCGTATCAGTGTTGATAACATGTGCTTGAATAATGGACTGCATTAATAAAGCTTAAGTTGAAGTTTGATTCAGCTAGTTGAATGCCATGAGGGTATCAACTTCACGGGTATTGTCACTACTGAAAATTTGAACACATTTGTTTACTTAAGTCATTGATTTAGGGACCATTCCCAGACCCTATCGTACTAACTGTGGATCGATCTATCTCCAAGAGAATTCCCACTAAATTGCAAGCAGCTTAAGCGGCTTAGATGTCTGACACGCCTACTGAAGCTGCAAGGGGGTAATTAATTATGGTTTGCAGCTTCAGTAGGCATGCCAGACATCTAAGCTGCTTAAGCTAAAAGCAATTTAGTGAGAAACCCCTTGGAGATGGATCGATCCCACTAGATCGATCTAAGTATGGGAACCCAGTCTTAGTGCATCTTTTGACAGGTTTTAAGTTGACTTGAAATTTGCTGTATGCAAATTGTCCCTTTCAAATTTTGATTGCTTTTACTTATCTCAGCATGATGTAATGTTATCGACATACTCTATAATGTGTTGAAGGTTTGAATGGTTATGTAATCGTATCTGTCTTCCATTATCAGGCAGACTTTGGGGGGGGAACTTATTTACTTTTCACAATACAATTCCTTCATCAATATCACACTCGTATGTCAGAGTAATCAAGGCTGTGGATAATTGCAGAAAGTTAAGAAGTCCTCTTAATTTTTTTTGTTGTTATCATCTTTTTGAAATATGTACTGGTATGCAGCCCCGTTTTCGATTTATATGATGTTATCATCCCCACTGAACAATGTAGAGAAAGAAATCTACTCCTTCACATTGAAACCTTGAGCTAACAACATTTTAAAGTCCTTGTAAACCAAGTGGAAGATTTTAATGGAGCTGATTTTGACCTAATTGTGGTTGCGTTTTTTTTTTTTTTTTTTTTCCTTTCTTAAACTTTTGTCATTGTTGTGCTGGGCTACATTATGTGAGCCATGATTTATAAGCCCCAGGGTCCCTTTCGTAACTGTAGCATGGAAAATTGTCAAAATTGACTGTTATAGTTTTGTTATCGTTGTTGCCACGATATATTAACCGTTTCCTAAGCAAATGGGCCAGTTTTGTAACTATGTCTCATAAATGATGAGTGAGGTTTGTGACTTTGAGACGCTGCCAGTTTCATAACTCCAACCTCACTGAATTAAAGACAACTTTTAATGAATTTGAATGCAATTTCATTGTCATCATCATCATCATCATTCCTCTTCGTCCCGTGTGGGACATAAGGCCACACAATCTCATTGTCATCATCATCATCATTCCTCTTCATCCCGTGTGGGACATAAGGCCACACAATTTCATTGTCATCATCATCATCATCATTCCTCTTCATCCCGTGTGGGACATAAGGCCACACAATTTCATTGTCATCATCATCATCATCATCATTCCTCTTCATCCCGTGTGGGACATAGGGCCACACAATTTCATTGTACAATTGCAAAATACTAGCTATGAAAGTTGTATTATTAACTGCAATCAATTTGTGAAGTCTTGGCCAGCTTTCATCAAGGTTCCTCGCCGTTTACAGGTTTTTTTTCTCAACTGCAAACTATTTTCAATATGGCAGAAGAATCAAGGAGCTGTACGTTAGAACTTTTAGAGTTTCCAAGTCAGAAAAAATTATATTTTCTTTTCTTTTTTCATCAGTAATGAAAAAAAAATTATTCTTGATGTCCACATCAATGAGCTTTAAAATGGCTAGGGTATCATTAACAGAATTTGAGGGGGGAAAAGGATATTAGTTGCCAAGCTCACTCAATGCTTGGACTACAAATTTGTTTTGAAACTAACATTCTTGAAGAAAAAGGGTATTGTAGCCTGCTATTTGGGCATAACTGTGGTTTTGGTGAGTTGTCAACATTTCATGGTTTTGTGTTGTAACTGTTTTGGAGAGTCATAACATTGTGAGCAACGATCTTAGCCCTCTGGGACGGTTTTATAACTAGCCGGAAAACTGGTGAAATTTTGTAGATCCAAAATATGGCCCACTTTTTTCATTATCATGCCTGGCCACACTATGTGAGTTATGACTTTATAAAGGGCTATGGGCCACTATAATTTTGTAACAAGCCTGGAAAATGGTCTAATTTTTAAGACCAGCAGTGTAGTATATTTCAATTCAGTTCTTTTTTGTTATGCCACATTATGTATTCGTGTAACGCTGTGCCAGTTTCGTAACTAGCCAGAAAAATTGGCAAAAACCTTCAGCCAGACCAAAAATTTGGCCAACTCACATTATGCGAGATATGGTTTAAGCCATTGTGCCAGTTTCACAACCATGTTTCGTAAGCAAATATTAATAATTTGACTTTGATGCATGGCCAGTAAGTCTCATAACTCTCGACCGGAAATCGGTCAATTTTTTTTTTTAATGGCCTATTTCAGATGTGTATTAGGTCTCAGAAATAACATTGGGCTGGGCCATAAGCCATGGCATTCTAGTTATAAAAAAGCATAGTATTTCATTTAATTAATTAAATGGACTTTCACGTATTTATTTTTGGGGGAAAGTGAATTAAATTCAAGGGGTTTAAAGTTTAAAACCAGTGTAAAGCCATAGTTTTTCATTATTATTAATTTTTTAAGAAACTGCTCCCTGCATGACCTCGTAGGATTGGCAATCCAGCTCTTTATTATCTTATTTCTGATTATTATTTTATATTTTTTAAATATTTTTTAGGGCGAAATATCGATTTCACTACATAGTGCATCAAAGCATTGTAATAAGCGTCTTGCAATAATAACCGCACAGGAAGAATCCAACATTTCCATTATAATCCTACCTCAAGTGAGGGGCAGTAGGGTGAAGTGGTGGCCTATTCTTACATAATGATCATTGGTTGTGTACTTAAAGTGTTAAATGGGAAATTAAGTGTGTGCGTGCCAGAAGAGAATACAAGTTCTGCAAGGGCTTAATAAGGCATGCTACGACATAAGAGTTACATATTTACAGTTTAAAGGGGTCAAGAGTAAAGGACTGGGGACATCCTTTTCCTTCACCCTGTAAGTTTAGGTGCAGTCGGCATTACGCCACAGCCAAATAATGGTGATGACTCAATCTTTTCAGTGGGGAAAATTATGAGTTATATAGCTGTATTTTTTGAAAGTCATAAACCCTTGAAATAAGATCATTCCTATTGAGTGGTAGCAACAAAAATGAAAGGCAGGCTACCTCAAAGTTTTCTTCTATACAGCAAAAGTACCACAGTTACTACACAGAAATAGATTTATAATGATTCTAAAATTATGTATCTGAAATATTAAATTAATATTTTTACCTATTGAAAAGAACAAGTTATTACCATATTCCAAATTACTCTTTAATCTGTGGGGAACTAAAGTGATGAATAATTGAGATTAAGACAAATGAAAATGTGTATGATAAAAAAAGAACATCTCTTATAAAGAGGTAGCTAATGGGCTTTTATTATCACTATTTCACAGGAGACAATAAAAAATGTAATTGCATGAACCTAATGGGAAATGTATATGGGCGCGTTCACAATGAAACTCTCATTCTACTAGATTGATCCAATTCAGCTTAAGCGGCTTAGTGAGTCTCTTCACAGTAAAACCTATGTGTGTTCTCAGAACAAATATTGTTTTAGAGTGGACCTCTTCCCAGTCAAGAGGGTGGTTCATTTAAACCCCCTCCCCGCCCCCAACAGCCCATCCCTATTCCCCCTCCCCCTCCCCCCTACTACCACAGACCTGAAGAAGGTACATAGAAAGCCCACTTTGCTGACACCTCCAAAACCAGTGGGAAATCAATTACATTGTGTGGTTTATCACCCAAATCTAAAAAATGTACAAGATAAGGACAGTGCCCAGCACTGTTTTAATTAAAATTAAAATGGCATGAAGATAAAGTAGCAGTTTAATTGGGTTTGGTTGCATTCATATAAAACTTCTAAGAATATCTCAGGTATGGGTTTTAGGCACACCCCAGGAAGTAGACAGCTTGATTGCAATCAATTCATTGGTCAGCTTTAAGAAACAAAATACCCATCACTAGCAATTATAGTCATGTTAGCGTTTCTGTTTCTCAGTCCCCATGCCCAATTTAGCTAAATGTCTATATATGTTATATAAACATATACATGTACGTATAAAAAAACTAAT